ATTTATTTATTATGTGTACAACTTTCTGCCTCCATGTATACCCAAACGCCAGAGGAGGGTGCCAGATCTCATTACAGATGGTTTGGAGCTACCATGTGGTTGCTGGGAATTGAACTCAGGACCTCTGGAAGAGCAGACGGCGCTCTTAACCACTGAGCCATCTCTCCAGCCCTGATGAGAATTTTTTTGCCCTCAAATGAATGACTGGGGTACCCTAGATACCCTTGTCAGCATTCCATGTGGCTACTCTTTTAAAAGGCTACTTTATGAAGAGATAAAATGCTATTGATTTAATCAAATGAAAAGTCACAGTTTTGGGGGCTGACAGGATGGCTCACTGGGTAAAGGCACCTACCACTGAGCTTGATGATCTGAGGATGATCCCCAGGACCCACATGTTGGAAGGAGACTGCCAACTCCTGCAAGGTGACCTCTGACCTCCTCATGTGCCATGGTACGCACACACACACACACACACACACACACACACACACACACACACATACAATAAATATAAAAAACCCTCACACTTCTGAAAATAAATGTTTGTTAGGCTACAGCAGTGGTAAACTCCTGTAATCCCAGCCTTTAGGACAGTGGTTTTCAGCCTTCCTAATGCTGTGGCCCTTTAATACAGTTCCTCATGTCATGGTGAGGAACCCCAGCCATAAAATTATTTTCGTTACTACTTCATAATTATAATTTTGCTACTGTTATGAATCGTAAATATTTTGTGTTTTTGATGGTCTTAGATGGCCCCTGTTCGACCCCAAAGCAGTCACAGTTCACAGGTTGAGAACTGCTGCTTTAGGAGGTGGAAGCAGGAAGGTCAGGAGTTTGAGTCCAGCCTGAGGTACATGAGACCCCATCTCAAAGAGTAAAAAAGTTTCATAACCGTCTCAGCTGACTTTGCCTTGTTGCCACCTCCTGTCTCTGCAGCGAGGCTCTCTCCTCAGTGAACCTGCCATCCAGGTGAGAAGAAAAGGAAAAGGAAAGCAGATTTGGTCTTTGGAAAAGCTGGAAAACAGGCTCTTAGATATGAGAGACCTCTACCAGGAGTGGAAGGAATGTGAAGAAGACAGCCCGGTGAGTCGCTCAAGGGTCACTTACCTGGTTGTCCGAGAAGGGACCACATTATAGCGAATTTGCCGGCTCGGGGATGTTGAATGCTTTTCCACAATCATTGCTCTAATTTTTAAAGTAAAATTTATTTTAATCCTTAAGTTGTCAAGCTATGTAAGAATTTTAATAATTGGTCATTTGCATGTTTTTTTTTTCTTTTTTTTTTTATCTCCTTTTATTTTGGGGTTCTAGCAGAATTTGCCTTTCCGTCTGCTAGTGAGTGCATCAGTCTCAGGTTATTCTGGCTTCTCTCTGAGGCAGGCACCAGGCCATCTCAGCACACTGCAAACAGCTACCCCACCATTCATGGTTTCACAGTCATCAGTCCACCCTGGTATTTTCTCTGTTAGGAAGGGTTGTGAAGGCATTTTGATCCCAAAGTAAGTGCCCAAGATCTATTCTGGCTCTGGCTCCTCTATTGCCAGGTTTTCTTGCTCAAGTAAGCCATGTTGTACATACCTAAAACAGAAATACACCCGGTGTTATTTTTTGTTGGTCTCTTCTAGACATTTGTTCTTTTAAGACAGGACTCCCTGTAGCCCAGCTTGCTCTTCTTACCTTAGCCTCCTCAGTGGAGGGAGGGTTTATGGCATGCACCGTCACACCCTGCTACCTATACCGGTGTTTACAATTCCACATGGAATGCCTTTCTTCCTTAACTCTTTCTAATGTTTGTTTTTTTCACATTGTCATCTTACTAAGAGATGATATTTTTGCATAAATTTGTAGTTTTCTTCTATAGTTCTATAGAAAGATCCCCCCCCTCCCTGCTGCTGTGCTGATGGCAGCAGTGTGTCTAACAGTTTAGAGGGATTTTTGGGCCTGAGAGAACAATGAGGGGGGAGTGCTCTCAGCCTTTTCTTTTTAGTCATCTGTCTGTTTCTCTATTTCTGTGTCAACCCTTCTGCATAAAGAAGCTGTCAGAGACTGAGGCAGGAGAATCTCTGTTAATTCAAGGTCAGCCTGGTCTGTATGTGAGTTATATAGACCAGCCAAGGCTACAGAGTGAGTGAGTGAGTGAGTGAGTGAGTGAGTGAGAGAGAGAGAGAGAGAGAGAGAGAGAGAGAGAGAGAGAGAGAGAGAGAGAGAGAGAGAGAGAGAGAGAGAGAGAGAGAGGAAGGAGGAGGAGGAGGAGGAGTCTGGATATGGTGGTAAAGTTATTGGTCAAATGAGTTTACTTTATGTGGTTTTTTTTTTTTCTTTCGAGGTTGTATGTTTGAAATCTCTTTCAGGTCACCCGGTCCTACTTCAAGCGTGCCGACCCGTTCTACGATGAGCAGGAGAACCACAGTCTAATTGGTGTGGCCAATGTCTTCCTGGAGACCCTGTTTTATGACGTGAAGTTACAGTATGCTGTGCCAATCGTCAACCAGAAGGGAGAGGTGGGCTTTCACTGTGGCTCATTCTGCAGAGCAGTTGAGGGGACAGGGAGTGGGCGGTGACAGGACACTTATCGTTAATACCTTTGTTTTCTAGCCAGTCCTGACTAGTTATAGTGTGTGTGGATACCTTGTGTTTCCATAGGGCTGTAAGTTGACTTCCTATCTTGTTTAGATTTCTAGCAGTGCAGCAGCTGTTAGAAAATCACCTGTTAGGTTTTCACACATTGTTACCCTCTGGCTTTATCAAGGGAGACAGGTCCCACGGAGAAAACTCAGCCCAGAAACCAGTGTTTGCTTTGCCTCTTTCCTTCAGGTGGCAGGCCGGCTGCATGTGGAGGTGATGCGACTCAGCGGGGCTATTGGGGAGAGGATCGTAGGAGGAGAGGATGCTGCAGAGGTCAGCTCTGACAAGGACGCCCAGGAGAACAGGCTGGTTTGCATGGTAAGCTCCAGACCCAGTCTAGAAGGTGGGACCACCTATGAGATTGTAGGTATTTGCATAAAAAACTCACTTCCAATAACTTGTAAGTGCCTGTCTTCAAAGAAATCTTTTAGCATTCAGTAACTTAGGGGTTGTTTGTCATACGTCTGGAAGACGCACTCAGCACTTTCTCTCTGTGGCCTTTCTCTCGGCAGTCAGGGTGACTGAGCCTGCTTGCGTGTCCTGCTTTGTGGAAGCAGCCCAGAATTCCCATAGGAGTGTCTATTAGTGGAGCTTTCGAGTTCTGATGAAGTGGATGTTTGCCTCTCTGTGGCCTTTCCCTCAGCTGCTGCCGTTTCCACCCTTCCCACCCAGCTTCTCCCTGGTTACCCAGTGCCTTTGTGTGTGCCGTTCCAGCCCCACAGTTCCCGGCCCTTTCTGTCTGATCTCCCTGTGTGTGCTGTTCATGGCATACTGTTTCTTTGAAGACCTATGTCAGGCACCAGGATAAAGATGCCAGGTTCCCACTGGCCAGTAGTAGGAATCTGCAGGTATGAGCAGAGGCCTCTAGTGTATGATCCATTGCTGTGATAGAGCTGGCATCAGCCATCTGGGCACACAGGAAAGCTGTGAATTCACGAGGTAGGTTCTGAGGGAGACTGAGGGAGATCCTGGAAGAATGAGACTGCAGGAGAGATGTTAGCTAAAACCAGATCTACAGGTGCTGTGGTGTTTTTGTGGGTGAATAGTACTGAGGATGGCATGCTCCCCGCTACCTGTGACCTAGTCCCTTTATAGTACAGTCCTTGCCTGAATCTCCAGTGCCCCCTAGTGGACCAGTGCTGCTAGTGCTCAGAATCCTGGCAGGATTTTGATGACAAAAGACCAGTAAGAACCTATAGTGTTTAAAAGAGATGATTAAAGATCTGCAAAGAAGTGTAAGTCAGGCTCTTGTTCCTAACTCATCCTAGGTCAGCCTTCTTCCTCAGTAAATCTTCTAGGATTGAAGTTGTTGAAGGAGTAAGTTGCACACAGCCGTGGGTGGGAGCGAGTGTTGCTGTGAGCAGGGCTGCTTTCTGCAGCCGGTCACATGATGAGGCCTGCGGTGGTTTGAGACATGAGTTGCTTCAGTGGGAGGGGGCAGTTCCTAACTCACTAATGGCCCCACTCTTGCTAATTTGTACTTGACTGCAGAACCTCTTCCTGGAGGTCACGTGCCTGGTTACCACAGGTATGTAGGCTCTGACTCCACGTGGCCCATTTCTGAGATAACAGACGGTGACTGCATCTCTGGGAGGTCAGCTTTCATAGTGTAAAATAATGAGAATGATTCCAGGTGGTGGTGGCTTTAATCCTAGCACTCAGGAGGCAGGGGCAGGTGAATCTGTGTGAGTTCAAGGCCAGCCTGGTCTACAAAGTACGTTCCAGGACAGCCAGGGCTATGGAGAAAAAACTCTGTCTCAAAAAACCAAAACCAGGGCTGGAGAGATGGCTCAGAGGTTAAGAGCATTGCCTGTTCTTCCAAAGGTCCTGAGTTCAATTCCCAGCAACCACATTGTGGCTCACAACCATCTGTAATGAGGTCTGGTGCCCTCTTCTGGCCTGCAGGCATATACACAGACAGAATATTGTATACATAATAAATAAATAAATAAATATTAAAAAACAAACAAAAAAACAAAAACAAAAAAACAAGAATGAAAATTTGTCATTAAAAAGAGAGACACGTATCTGAGATAACATGCCTTTTTAAAAAATGACAAAATATGTTAAGATTTAATGGAAGATACCAAGCATAAAAGTAGTAAGGAAGGTATGGTCAGTCGCACTCTCCCTGCTCCACAGTGCCCAGACAGCCCAGCATGACTCTTCATGCACTTCATGCTGCCACTCCCATTAGGAGCAGCTTTAGGACAGACACCCAAGGCTTCTTAGTTCATTTGGAAGTAGTACGTGTCTCCAAAATAGTAGGTACTTAAAAAAAGAATCAAAATAGCTAATTCCTTAAGATCATAAACTATATAGCCAGCCTTCTTAAACGTCTTTGTTAGTGTCACCCAGCTTTCTCTTATCTCTAGATTCTGCGCTCTTTCTCATCTTGGAATTTGTTTGTTGTAAAACCTGTATGTTGCCTTGTGTTTGTTGATGGTCATACATGGCATACTCAGGTGTTAGATATAGGGCAGCAGCAAAACAGTATGTGCCACATAATAGGAAAGCAAGTATGTATTATAGGGAGTGGTGTGTTTTCTGTTAAAGTTATGGATTTTTAAAATTGTCTTCACGTCATAATGAACTCTTAGACTTAACATATGTGTCTTTTAATGGGTATTCATTACTTGTAACAAATCTCCAGTGTTCCCAGAGTTGAGTAGTGACAGCCTCTTCACTTTGCTCTTGAGTCCTGCAGACAGGAGCCTGACTGTCATTGACAAAAGTTTTAGCTTTTGGGAATGGCGAACATTTTATCTCCTCCTATACACACTTCTTTTTCCGGACTCAGAATCCACCTCTTCTTAAGAAGCTGTGTTCATTTAAAGGGGACATGCTTCTTAGAGGCTATGTCCTCGCCGTGGGAGCCCGTTGCGTAAAAGGCGAGACGCCACAGTGAGTGAAGTTCCTGTGGAAAGTCAAATCTGGGGGTGGTTTTGGTACCATGAGCGAGGGAAACCACGGCCGTTCAAGACATCTGCATTCCTTTTTTCCATAATGAAAGTATGTCTATATTCCTGTTTTCAAAAACAGTAAATTAAAAGCCCCAAATAACATTGATTCCTGACAATACTTTTTGGCTCTTTCATGCTGAGCTGAAAGTTGAGTGCTATCCTGACACCTTGTGGTGATTTCAATTTTTGTAGTTAACTAACTAAAAAAAAAAAAAAAAAAAGACAATAAAAAACTCTAAACAGCGTATGTTCTGAAGAACATGCGTTTATTCCTCGTTCTTGTTGCTCTTCATTCCTGGCAGTCTTAATTCTCAGAAGTTCCTGTAGAGGGCAGGTTAGCACATCCGATCTTGTTTCTTGTTTATTTCAGCCTTAGATTGCGATTCATTTCTGAAGGAATGCAGTGGCTTTCAGATGGAATTCCTTCACAGATCAGCATGTGTACGGGGCTTGCTCAGCAGTGCCTGTCCTTGCTGTCACTCATCTCTTTGTTTTCATTGGTGTGGCTGGCCTCACCTCTGTCAGGGTAGACATAAATCCTCCTCTCTCTGCCTGGAGAAAGCTAGGCTTAAGAGTTTACACCAGCACACAGGCTAGCAAGTGGCAAGGATTCTTTTAGATCTGTGTAATACCAAGACCTTGTTATCATGCCCCACAGCACATTGCCTCATTTGAGGTATGTAATAAACATTTTTTAACATGTGGAGAATAGAACTTTGAAAATTTTTCCTGTAAAATGTATTCTAGAATACTGATGGTCAGTTCAATGTGAAGAGAGAAAACACATTAGCCCTTCAGAGCCTGTCAGAGACTTACTGCCTAGGTAGTACAAGCTCGTTGACATCTCAGGAAGAATTGCATAAAAAAAAAGTCGCTGTTTATTGGCTGACCTGTTTTGTTCGTTACATAGGAAATCTGCTTTGAGTCCTCAGAGTCCCTGAATACCATGGTTATAGTTGAGGTTGCTGAGCCACGAGACCTTACACCACGCAGTACAATTTATTCTCATTAAATTTATATACTAGATCTGGAGTAAATCAGACAACTTAGGGAAAGAAAGTGGCTGGACAGTGTAATTGGTGATGAACTCCATTGTGTGAAAATCCTCCTGTTCATAGTGTTCTCCAGAGGAACAGAACTTATAGAATGAATCTGTCTGTCTGTCACCTAAAGGGGATTTATTAGAATGGCCTGCAGGTTGTGTTTCAGCTATTCCAACAATGACTGCTGATGAGTGGGAGGTCCAAGAATCCAGTTGTTCAGTCCACGAGACTGGATGTCTTAGGTGATCTTCAGTATACAGCAGAATTCCAAAGAAGTAGGCTGTCATGTCAGTGAGGGAGTGGACTTGATAGGGAGAGTGGGAGCAAGCCGGCAAAGAGGACAAGCTTCTCTCCCACATCCTTTCTAAAGGCTGCCAGCAGAATTAAAGGTGGATCTTTTCACCTAAAAAGATCTGGATTAAAGGTGTGTCTTCCTACCTCAAAGATCCAGATCAGAAGTGATCTTTCCATTTCAAATGATTTAATTAAGAAAAAAAAAATCCCAGGACTGGAAATCCAGAGAATCCTGGTTCAATTCCAAGTATCCCGAAGGCAACTCATAACTGTCTGTAACTCCAGTTCCAGGGGATCTGGCAGATATAGATGGAGGAAAAACACCAATACACATAAAACAAAAATAAATTAAGAAAGAAAGAAAGAATCCCTCACAGGTATGCTCAGCCATTTGGGTTTTAGTTAATTCCAGATGCAGTCAAGTTGACAACCAGCCATAACCATCACATATACCATGCAGTATAATTAATAATTCTAGAATTTACTTCATAATTGTGTGGTTTTAAGACCATCACAAGCTACTACAGAAACTCCAAATTTAAATCTAGATGTTGTTGCAAAAAGTATGAAAGTTGTTTGGCTTCTTTAAGATCTGAGTGAGCAGCTGGAGGGATGGCTCAGTGGCTAAGGGTGTGTGCTGCTCTTCCAGAGCCTGAGTTCTGTTTCCACCATCCACTTGAAGCAGCTCACAACTGCTTGTAACTCCAGCTCCAAAGGTCTGATGGCCTCTCTGAGGGCACCTGCATATACATCATGTTCACACATGTATGTTCACACATACAGACACACAGATGTGTATATGAATATATGTAGATAAATGGGGCTCATGGCTAAGAGTACTTGCTTCTCTTGTAAAGGACTGAAGGAAAGTTCCTAGCACCCATGTCAGGCAGCTTATGTCTTCTGTAACTCCAGAAGGGGATCAGACACCCTCGTTTGAGCTCCACAAGAACCTGCATTCACAGGCACATACCCACATGTAACACACACATCCGTATAGTTAAAAATTACTAAAAGTAACTTTTTTTTTTTTGTTTTAAGACTCCGATGCAGGAATTTTCTCTGGGGCGTTGATCCTATTGGGCCCACGTCTCTGGCCATCCTTTGTAATCATGGATTCCAGGGTCCTCATCCAGAGATTTGAGTTTTTGCTGTCACTCTCTGGGGAAGGTATTGGGGCAAAAAAATGTCCGTGCAGAAAGCAGCAACTCTATGATCTTTACCTCTTTCATTCTCCGCTTCAGACAAGATGGTCAAATGCAACACTCAAGGCAGTTCATTACTAGGAATAAAATAAAAATTAAGTAATATTATTTTAGCACGTAGCATGCTATTCCAGAGCTCAGTTCCTCCTTATACTTGAGATAATTGAGTGAATCCTTTCCCTGCCCTGAAGATTGGCTGCTCACTCAATCAGACACAGTTTTGTGCTTTGTTCCTTATGCTCAATGCCTTTGTGCTTTCCTTATAAAATACTGGGCCTCTGGGAATGATGATGATGGTATCCTACATCCTGACAAGCTAAGATTCAGATGCTCTTGTCCGTTTCTAAGTGCTGCCCAGCACCCACCTTGGCATTTGGTTGTCATCACCCTGTGTCAGGCTGGCCTGTATGCTAGTCCCAGACCAACCTGAAGGACATAGGCCCAAAGTAGGAGCATGTTTGGTGACAGAGCCAGAGCAGGACCACGACCCCACCCCACCCCAATCTCCTAATTAAGTACTCCTGGGAGCTTGCTGGTCGAGACAGTGGAGTCTTCTTTCCCTTCAGGTTAAAATACTACAAGCCACAGGATTGCCGCAACATCTGTGCCACTTTGTGTTCTGCAAATACGACTTCTGGGATCAGCAGGAGCCAGTGACTGTTGCCCCTGAAGTGGATACCTCTTCGTCTCCCACCAGCAAGGAGCCACAGTGTATGGTTGTGTTCGATCATTGCAGTGTGAGTTCCTTTCCAGTCTACCACAGTGCCCAAGTTATTGTGTAAACACAGCTAATGAGTGAGTACTGCATCTTTGGATGATTGGCCTAACAAGATCAGAGACTACCCTGATGGCCACTACATGTTCTGCCATGTTGATTGCTTGCTCTTTCCAACCAGTTATTATTAATGATGATATTTTTGTGGGCAGAATAAACTCAAAGTAGTGACTGTCACTTTGCCTTTGGCTGGTGACCGTCAGAGTTTGGACTAGCTTTTGCTATTTACTCCACATTTGACTCCCAACAAGAATGAAAACAGGCTCCCAAAATACTGCTAACAAAATAATTTGCTATGCTTACAGATTAGTTTTTCAAAATGAGAAGTTTTAAAGTCATGGCTATATTTATATATATTTTTTTCTTTTTTTTTCTTGGTTTTTCGAGACAGGGTTTCTCTGTGGTTTTGGAGCCTGTCCTGGAACTAGCTCTTGTAGACCAGGCTGGTCTCGAACTCACAGAGATCCGCCTGCCTCTGCCTCCCGAGTGCTGGGATTAAAGGCATGTGCCACCACCGCCCGGCTATTTATATATTTTTAATTTTAAAAGATTAATTTTTTAAATCAGTGTGTGGCTGTGCACACATGAGCGCAGGTACCCACAGAGGCCGACGCATCAATCCCCTGGATCTGGGTAGTTGAGTCACCAGATGTGGGGCCCCCGGAAGAGCAGTACTCACTCAGTCTTAAGCATGGAACCATCTCTCCAGCTGCCCTCAGATCCACTCTGTATTTGAAAGCAAGTGTGTTAGTCTGTGTGCACATTGTAATTGGTGTTAAATGACCATTGTGTCCTATGAGGAAAGTGTGCCATTGTCTCTGTCTTTCCTCCCTGATGTCATTAAGGTGTGAAGCCTGGCTTACGTGGTCAAAAGACCGAGCCAGTGTGTGCTGCTCTGCAATGAGCTGTTGTGTTTCAGGAGTTCAATGTTAACATCACAGAAGACTTCATTGAGTACCTCTCAGATGGGGCACTGGCCATTGAAGTCTATGGGCATAAAGTGACTGATCCTCGGAAGAACCCAGCCCTGTGGGATTTGGGAATCATCCAAGCAAAGACAAGGAGTCTTCGGGACAGGTGAGTTTTGATGATGTTCATTGGATTCCCATTTCTTGTTTTAAAAAATTGCTGGAGATGACCATCATTTATTTTTAAATTCGTTTTCTTTTTCTTGTGTATGTGTGGTATATACATGTGTGTAGACATATTTACATGAGTGGGGGCATGGGCGTGTGCTAGTGCCCTGTGGTGAGGGGGAGTCAAAATTGGCATAGGAAGTTTTCCTCAAGTACTCTTCACCTTATTCAGAGGCCCCTCATTCAAACCTGGAGCTTACCAGCAGGGCTAAGCTGGCTAACCAGCTTGCTTCAGGGATCCTGTGTGTCTTTATGTTTATAGCTGGAGTTATAGGCAGGCATTGGTTCATCCAGCATTTATGTGTGTTGTGGAGCCCTAGACTCTAGTGAGTCCTCATGCTTGGGCAGCAAGCATTTGAACTATTGAGCCATTCTGGTGTTTTATAAATTAATGGTCCCCTTTACTGTGTATCACCAGGTTTGTCTCTAGGGCTTTAGCCTCCCAGTAGAATGTTCTTAAAGCAGCGAACTTTAGAGGATGATGGGAAAAGCACATGGGTGTTTAAGAAGCAACAGTGGAATGAAGTTTAGGAGAAAGGTCACTTAGCACAGTGGGTTTTGTCTGATTAACCAGCTATGGAGAGGTGGATGCAGTCTGCTATAGGGTCATGTTGACCCTGTCTTCAGCTCATAGGTGTTTGTTGCTTGTTTGATTTTGTGCTGCTGGGGTTCAAACCCAGAGCCTCACACATGCTAGGCAAGCACTGTATAGTTCTGCACCCCCAGCCCTTTCCAGTTTTGAGTGGCATCAGTGATGGGAGGAGGGTAGCTCATTTGATGACATACAAGAGTTAAAAGGGAAGGACTGAAAGAGGGGGTGCTTTTACTTCCATCTAATTATAGATGAGAAACTCCTAAATTAGAAGGTGAGATTTGTCTTCTTCATTTTCTTACTGACCTGAGAGTACATCCTTCTCAAGTCATAGATGACACCTTCCTGTGAGAAGAGCATCCTGTACTTGGTTTCTGCATACTGGCTATAGTATTTCAGGCATTGGATAACCTGTGCTCTGTGTGTGTGTGTGTGTGTGTGTGTGTATGCATGTACATGCGTGCACTCATGTTCACATGTATGCATGAATGTAGAGGCCAGAGGTTGATGTTACATGTCTTCCTTAGTTGCTCTCCACATTATATATCAAGGCAGGGTCTCGCTCTTGAACCCAGAGCTCAGCAGTTCAGCTAGTCTAGCTGTCTACCTTACTCTGGAGAGCTCTATGTTTGTGCCTTCTGTTTACTGGGATTACTGGTGGGCCACTGCACCCACTGTTTATGTGGGTTTGAACTCTGAGCCATTGTTCTAACCCCATATTGTAATTTCTGAAAAATAAAAGTGCCAGTGATTAAGGGGTAGCTCAGTGGTAGAGCACGTGCTTAGCACATGAAGGCCACCTAGATTCAGTCCTCAGAAACCATAACAGAAAACCAAGGAGCCATCCTGTATCTGATGCTGTGAGTTCGACTTTCTGTTCACGCTATTTGCTATTACATACATACTGTACATGCCTTTCTGACATGAAGATTATTTTCCTGGGCTCCTCTGTTTAAGGTCATTCTCACTGTTAAGTAAAATGTAAGATCTTCAGCTCTCTGCATTGAAGTAGAGAGGCATGATTTGTGGACTGTAAAGTTGGCTCAGTCAGTAGGTTACTTACCCAGCATGGATGAAGCCCTGTGTTTGATTCATAGTATTGCATAAATTCCTGTGTTGTCACATGTCTGTAATCTCTGGAGAAGAAGGCAGGAAGATTGGAAGTTAAAGGTTACCTTCGACTATCTATCAAATATATATCTATATATTTGAAACCCTGCCCCTTCCAAAAGAAGTGTATTTCCCAAGGACTGCATGTATTTCCTAGGTGGAGTGAAGTCACCAGGAAGTTGGAATTCTGGGTTCAGATCTTGGAACAGAATGAGAATGGTGAATACTGTCCCGTGGAAGTGATTGCTGCAAAAGATGTCCCAACAGGAGGGATCTTCCAACTCCGACAGGTACCAAGACTGTGACGTCATAGTAAATTCCTTGACACCAGAAGACTTACAGTGGATTCTTTTGAACAGAACTCTTGATGATGATTAAATATACAATGGTCAATCCATTTCTTTGAGAAATTTAAGTTTATTGGTATGTATGTATTGTGAACAAATGTGGGTAGTTGTGCATGTGGAAGTGAGAGGACTTTTGAGATATTGTTTTCTTCTTTTTCCATATAGTCCTGGGGTTTGAACTCAGGTTGTTAGATATGGCAGGAACTTCCTTACTTACTTAACCATCTCACTGGCCCTTTTTTAGTTTCAATTTTTTGTCTTCAAGCCCATTTTTATATTAAAATTGTTTCTTATATACATTTCTTTTATTGCTTCTTACGATATTTTAAAAATAGTTTCTAAAAGGGTTAAAAAAATAAGCTTTTTTGAAAAAACATTTTATTACTGTGTGTGTGTGTGTGTGTGTGTGTGTGTGTGATTGTGTGCCACAGGACACAGTGGAGGTCAGAGGACAATTTGCAGAAGTGGGTTTTCTCTACTATTCGTGTCCTAGGAAGTGAACTTAGGTCATCAGGCTTGAAGCACTTCACTGGGTGAGCCCTCTTGCTGGACTGAGAAGAAAAACTTTAAGGAAAACTTAGAATTGAAGAGTAGGGCATAAGGCAGACATGCTAAGCATTGTTTGTAGAGTCATGAATACAAGGAAAGCTGTTCGAAGTGGCAAAAGGAACCGAACGTGCAGGGGCTGACCTGCCAGGTCCAAGCTGTGTACTTGTGAGCTCCTCCACCTGGAACGTGGGTTTGGGGTCAGTTAGGACAGTGCTGTATAGAGCCACTTGCTTGACACGTAGCGGGTGTTAAGTGTGTGTGGCTGAGTCCATGAGCAGAGAGAGATGTGGAAGAGACACCACTTACTGGTGAGTGGTGGCCTGTCAGTCTGTGCTGCTGACTGACAGTGACAGGGAGGGTCTCCATTTATAATTTGGTTATCAAAAAGTGACAGTCTTCATTATGACAGTTTCTTGAATATGCCCACATATTTAGTGCTTATTAATACCTGTAACAGGAGGAGCGGGCTCCTTGTTGTCCTGGTTGCCTGGCTATCTTACACCCAAAATAATCACACAGAAACTGTATTCATTTAAATATTGCTTGCCCCATTAGCTCTAACTTCTTATTGGCTAATTTTTACATCTTAATTTAACCTATTTCTATTAATCTGTGTATTGCCACGTGACTGTGGCTTACCGGCAAGATTCTTACCAGCGTCTGTCTCAGGCAGGAGATCCATGGCATCTGCCACTCTGTCCTTCTTCCCAGCATTCAGTTCTGTCTACTCTGCCTACCTAAGTTCTGTCCTATCAACTAGGCCAAGGCCGTTTCTTTATTCATTATCCAGTGAAAGCAACACATAGACAGAAGGACCTCCTACACCAGTACCCCTCCCCCAGGGCCCCTTATTCCCTTCAGTCTGCTACAGCTTCTGTAGACCTTTGAATTTAAGTGCCGTTCTATCTCATGTGTTTCTTTGATTGCTGAAGTTGAATATAATTTCATGTACTTGCAAAAAAAAAAAAAAAAAGAATACTTTGTACTCTGCCAGTGGATTAAAGTTTGGAACCCAGCACCCAGGATGCATGGCTCACGATCACCTGTACCTCTGGCCCTAGGAGAGCTGAGGGCCTTAACAGCCACATGGCATATATTCACAAACACACACATATAAATAAATTTAAAAAATCTTTAAAAACCCATATTATTAGAATTGCTACAGAGATGAATGTTAAAGTATTCAAAGAAAAACACGAGAAAAGGTTGAGGGAAGGAGAATGTTTGCTTAAATATTTAAATTTCTGATAGTTCTAAAAGGTAGAAGTAAATGAGTCTTCTCAGATGCATTCATGTATAAGTGAGAGACTTAGAGCCAAAGGAGAGGCTTTTCAGCCACAGTGCCTTGCAGAGACATGACTCTGTGGAGAGGCCATGCTATGGAGACAGCAGTGTGCACTGTGCTGTGTGGAGACGCAGCGCTTGGAGAGACACAGCTGAATTCTTTTCTTTTGGAGTGGGGAGTGAGAGTTTTTGAGATAGGGTTTCTCTTTGTAGCCTTGGCTGTCCTGGAACTCACTTTGTAGACCAGTCTGGTGTTGAACTCACAGAGATCTACCTGCCTCTGTCTCCCGAGTACTGGGATTAAAAGTGTGTGCCACCACCACCCGGCTTGGCAATTCTTATTTTTAACACCAGACTGAATGCTGACTCTGGTGCCCTGCGCTTTAACTTAGGTCATAAATGTTTCTCTGCACAGTCACCTAGTGACTGTGCGGGGCTTCACACTTTATTAGAGATTTGCTACTTCATTCCTAATGGTGCTTCCAGAATACTTATCCATGTGCTTGACTGCTGAATTCCTGGAGCAAACGTTGCTCACGGTTTGAAGTCACTTAGCCCTAGAACAAGCTTGACCATCCCACAGGGCTGATACTGCCTGTTTCATAAACCTTGGTCTCTATTGGGAGTCATTTCTAGCTTAGCAGGTTACCCTATCAGGAAATTGGTCTTTTCCTTTTTAGGTCTTGGCCTCCCTATGGAGCCCCAGAATGCTGTCTAGACTGTGCTGGCCTGGATAGCCTAGAACTCTATGTAGCCCAGACTAGCTGTGAACTCACAGAGCTCTCCCTGCCTGGCTCCTGAATGCTGAGGTTACAGTGGCTTGGTTGAACTTTTTTTTTTTTTTATTAGACACGGTTTCCATTTCTTTTGCTTGTAAGTTTTCATTTACCTGTGTGTTCTGTCACTTGCCAGCGCTTGGCAGGTAAGCCAAGAGGATTGCCTTGAATTCAAGATTAAGCCAGAGCTACATAGCTCTTATCTTTCATTAAACAAAACACAAAAGTTTTCTACTAGTTTCTTATTACTCAGGAATTATAAAAATGTATGTTCATTTTGTCTTCTATCTGCTTGAAGGAAAATAGATTTTCCTGACTAGTTTTGAACTTGTGCTTTAGTATTTAACAGTTATGAGACAGATGAAACTGTTATGAGATAGATGAATGTCTCCAAAACCAACTGCATTTCTCTACATCAGGCTGTAGGGGTCTCTCTAAACCAGACTTTGAAAACCAAGAAGCTGATCTTGTGTTATCAAATCTCTCTGTGCTGCAGGGGCAGTCTCGGCGAGTTCAAGTTGAAGTGAAGTCCGTGCAGGAGTCAGGGACTTTACCACTGATGGAAGAGTGCATATTGTCTGTTGGCATTGGGTGTGTGAAAGTTAGACCACTCAGGTCCCCTAAGATCCACGAGACCAGTCATGTAAGTTTCTGTGCCTGCTCTGTGCTCTTTGAAAGGCAAACGGCCAACCAGAGTCTTTGAGACCTTGTTATCCCTGGCCCTTTCTCTGCCATTAGTGTCTCTTCAGATACTGCCTTGGCAAGAGGCCCTTGCACTAGGCTGTGACCATGTGTTCTGGTGTGTAGTGAGCTGAGAGTTAAAACCTTTCAGCCTGGCAAACCACCAAGCCTCACAGTGATTAACTTCCTCCCATGGCCCACCCCTCTATAGAACCCCCCACTGGCTGGTAAAGATGCTTTGCCAGCAGGTGTTTGATTTCCTCTGGTGTTGGGGGTTGTAAGCCCAGCGGGGAGAGCATTGTACTGACTTGGAAAAGGTCAGGGGAGCCTCTTCACCTTCCCCAGAAGGTTAGGTCTTACCATCTTCCTGACAATGGAGGGCTGGAGTGGGGCTGGATGGGTGGCCACAGGCTGGTGTGTCAGTTAAACAAGAAGACTGGAACTGTGGGAGAAGATTGTGCTGTGTATGGAGGCCTGATTTGTGGGTAAATAATTGTTTTGGTTCTACATAATAGGCTGTTTTCTTTTAGGAGGAAGAGGAGGACATGGACAGCTACCAGGTAATTGAGCACCTGTTGTCCTCATCAAATCAGCTTGATTCAAGTGCTTAATTACACAGGCCAGGATCTCTGCACTGCTACTTGATAATTAGACAATTCTGCTTTTTCCCAAAAGTCAAACAAAGTATGGAATGCTGGGTATCATGGAGGGGGGTTGGCGAGCTAGGACTCGGAAGCTGCTGTGAGAGAAGCTTTTCCTAGTCACCCCCTCTGCATTGGGCTCTTTACACAACCACCTCCCAGATACCTTGCCAGGCTCCCCTTGAGCTGAGTCACCCACAGTTGGGTATGGGGATGTATGCCTATTTCTGTGTCTTATGTGTGTGAAGAAGCTAGGTCACCCTGAATGCTCACTTCCTTGACTTATCTCTTAGGTTTTTTTGGGGGTGGGGGCTGTTTCTCCTGTCTTTTCTTTTCCTAATTTGGCAGATTTTGTTTGTGTCTGTGAAGTTGCATCTTGTTAGTAGTCATCGTTTAAGACTGCCCGGGCTCTTCGGAGCCTGATTATGTCATCCACTGTAGTCACTCTCCTGGCTTTGCATCATCCTAATTTGATAGAAATGTCTGCCTTCCTATAAGTCACTGATAAAAGAAAACAAAAACACCTCATCATTCAGCTGGGGTTGTACTCAGAGTATGGTACCGCCACAGAGTCTTCTTTTAACAGACATCCTCCCATTCATCACTGCTCTCTGGATGTGGCATTTGAGTCCTCTGTGATGCCACTTAGAGTAGATGCACAGCACATTTCTCTGTCTTGTCCACAGGAATGTCATAAGCTATTTGGTTAAGTGCCCTGGTGAAACCCAGACACTCGACATCTGCAGCATTCCTCTGAACCACCCAGCCCCCTAACCATGTTACTAACGGAAATGAGGTCAGGTTGGCATGCTGGCAGGTGTTGACTGGTGGAGTTCAGTCTGTCAATAACAACTCCTGCCCACTCGCCCACCAAACTCAAGGAGAAGAAGCACTTATGTGCTATGGTCCTCAGGAGTCTAGTGTGACCTGACGGGAGCAGTGGATAGAGACCTGAGGATTCTTCCTGATTGTCCCGAGGAGTAGAAGTTTGGAGCTTGTTAGCTACAGTTTGTGAATCTTGTCCTGCGAGGCAGCCTCATAGATGTCGTTCTCAATAAATACAAAGAGAACCAGTTCTTCAGGGTCTGCCTACTCTATAGAGTGTGCTAATGCTTTCTGTTCCAGGAGTTCTGATCTGAGTTCTGTGCTGCATGTTGGGCTGGTACACAGTGCAGGTGGTAGAGTGCTTGCCTGGCAAACATGGAGTGCTTAGGCTGGGCATGGTGACAGAGGCCTGTGATCCCAGCACTCTGAGATGGGAACAGAGACTTGTGAAGTCCAAGGTTATCTTCAGCTACACATAGTGAGTTCCAGGCCAGTCTGGGTTTCATTAGACCTTGTCTTTAAAATAGAAAAGAAGAGGAAGAAAAAAAAAAAGGCAATTGTTGCATGTTGTTTGAGTCTTGGAGTTAAGAGAATGAAGTTAGTCAGGGGAATGTCTGGCTGGATGTGTTGCCTGGATAGTGCATTGAGTTTGGCTTCCCCTGTTTTCTTCCAGGATAGGGATCTAGAGAGGCTGCGTAGAAAATGGCTCAATGCATTAACCAAGCGTCAGGAATACTTGGATCAGCAACTGCAGAAGCTCGTCAGTAAACATGGTAGGAAGAACAAGTTGGACATCTCCTTCCCTTGGCAGTGCAGCCAATGCATCTCATCCATAGCCCTCTTGTAACCCGCTGAGGGCCCAGTGTGGTGGTGAGGGTGGATGCTTGCCCTTGACTTGGGGTATAGCCTTTCAGAAGAACATTTATTTGGTTGTAATGATGTCTTCTTGCAATTCCTTTTGGGGATGGGGCCCAGACATACATGTAGCAAAACATCCATACCCCTTAGAAAGTAACTGGGTGAAAGGTGCTGATGTTTCTTGTTGGAGGTACTGGGCAGCTTGGAAGCTGAACCAACCTGTCAGACCTGCACCAGAGATCTGTGAGCTGTAAGAAGCCTCTGCAAGTTCCCGTTGATATTGGGAAATCATGTTTACTCAAAGACAGTATGGAAACACCCTGGAGAAATGACTTAGTGGTTAAGAACACTTGCAGAGGACCCGGGTTCAGTCTCAGTTTTCACATGATGGCAGCTCACAACTGTTTGTAATTCATGTTCCAGGGGATATGACACCCTCTTTTGGCCTCTGGGGAATCCTCCTTTTTACACACACACACACACACACAAAATCAATCAATCAATCAATCAATCAATCAATCAATCAATCAATCTACAGAATATGTGGGAACAGCAAGCAGGATTGCTGGCTCCAACCCTGATTCCTTTCTTCCAGACAAAACCGAGGATGATGCTGAGCGGGAGGCACAGCTCCTGGAGATGCGGCTGACGCTCACAGAGGAGAGAAATGCAGTGATGGTGCCCTCTGCTGGCAGTGGCATTCCAGGGGCACCAGCAGAATGGTAAGGTCCCCCGGGGTGACCAGGTACCTCCTTCCTTCCGCCCATCCTTCCGCCCATCCTTCCG